CTTGGCAAATCTCAAGAAACTCTTATTTGTAATTCACATCTTTACAAATTTAAGAATGTGATTCTTTAGAACAATGTTATTTCTCGATAACTAAAAATAAAGATACTGAAAAGCTTTGGAATAAAAAAAAAAGAAATGTTGCAAACTGTAGGAAACTTGGAGCTTTGAGTTCAGTGCTTATTTTGCGATAAAAGTCAATGTGTATCGTAATGAACAGAAAAACCAATTTTACCACCGTGAAGTCCTTACAGTAACCGATTTCAGAATCAGAAAGATCATATATTAAAAATGGTCTCTGCAGTCTCAATGTATACAAGTAGAGTCTAGCTACTGTTAAATTAACACTTCGTTAAAATATCAAAGTAAAAGTTTCAACAAATACTTTTTTATGTTATATTTCAAAACAGGACAAAAAAAATGAAGAACAGATTGCCAGTTCTTCTATTCCACAGCAGTTAAGTTTTTCAGTTCTCATTTTCTTTTCTTTTGCCGAGCTCTCTGTCGCTGGAAACTCTTAAACCGATTTCAAGGGCTACACCTGAATAAACACGTTGTAAAAGTGTTTATGTATTGAAGTGGGTCAGTTCAAGGTATGGTATTTGGCTGGAACTCCTAATTTCTCTTTTTACAGCACAAGGGCTGCCAGAAGGAGGAAGTCTGAGCTGAATTAATACATTTGTTACAGTGGAAGTAAAATGGAAACTGCTCTAACCACAAATCAAACTGCCTCTTTCATTTATGCCAATGATAAAGTTTTTCTAAGAAGTATATACACTCTGGCACAGAGCCACTATAAGTTTGCATTTGAAAGGAAAACGTGTATGCTTATTTGTTTAAGGTTTACTGCTTGGGTTATTTGTAAGTCCTTTTCCTGGTAGGACTGAACGCAGAGGGGCTTGTGAGGCAGATGTCCATTTTCCTTCTTGTAGACAACTTCTCTCTGTTACAGGACCATTGTTGAAGATACCCATGCAGCTTGGATTGGTGCGAACTTTCTTTTAAAAGCTAGCATCGCCATATGTGAAGGACCTCTGTCTCTCTCACAACAGCTGCATGAACTCTTGCAACACACTCTTGCTTTCTGATGGTAGAGAAGTCTCTCTGCACAACTCATGTGCATACAAAACTGGTTCTGCTGCCAAAATACACTTTGTTAAGAACAAGGGCTTATTTGGTTAAATGCCATTGATGCCATTTTAGGGACTTGTTTCGCCTTTCTTTCTTCTATGGTTGGTTAGGTCTTGTAGTGGACTGAGGTTGCTTCATAGTCTTTGCTGAATAAATATTTTAAGAAAACATGCACATTTCTCAGCGGACAAGCCAGAGTCAATCATGCATGGATTTCAAACCATGTTATATATTACTCTTACAGGATCTGTAAGTAACTTCATATCGAGAATAGTAACTTCAATAAGCCTGAGTAATTTCTAAGTAAAGTTACAGCAAAATACTAAATAGCTTGCCTCCTTTGGGTGGTTTCCATGGAACTAGAAAGCAACCAATGGTTTTCTTTATGTACATAATATATAATAGGCCTTGTATAGTATATATATATTTAATTACATATTATATAAACATATAATTTAAAGTGACAATTACTTTAAATTGGGAGCACAGTAGTACCTAATTACTATAGTGTTTGTGGAATCATATTAAGTAATGTAGAGGAAGCACCCAGAAAATTATATACCCTTTTCAGAGGAAGTTCTCCAAACATATTGGTATGATTATAAATATCGCTACTCCATCCATGGGAAAGGCACTTTAAGACACCCAAGTTTCAAGAGCCCAGGACATTCTGACTCACAACATACTCTGGTTTTTCTCTCTCCCTTTGTCGTACAACCACATGTATAGATTAAGAAGGGTCTAAGACCTAAAATTAATGCACATCAAATGCGAATCTATGAGCTTACTTAGGACTTCCTTCCCTTTTTGCAGACTTACCAGACTCCACTTGAGTCTCCTGAAATCTTCTCAGTCAACTTTCAGTTTGTGGAAACTCGTGGGGAGTGGAATTTGGGAATTTTCATGTTTGTTTCACAATGTTTTTCAATGAGCATGGAGTTCATGACAGACCTGCATTCCCAGGAAAAGTCTCTCAGGATGACATGAAGAATGTTTAAATAGAGCAAACAACTTTGTTAAGTTTACTGACATGGCCAGAAGTAAATGGGAGAAAAGCTGTCAGTATTGACTTAATATGAGAAAGGCTGAAACTATCTGGAAAAAGTAGAGATACCCTTCAGGCATTCAATTTTTATCATTTATAGAAAAATTATGTATTGTGGGATAATGCTCTTGTACACTGTAAAGATTTGTCACTCACATATGTTGAATAAAACACTGATTGGTCAGTAGCCAGACAGGAAGTATAGGTGGGGCAAACAGACTAGAAGAATTCTGGGAGAAGAAAGACAGAGATGCAGTCATCAGTAAGACACAAAGGAAGCATGATGAGAATGCCTTACTGAGAAAAGTTACCAAGCCACATGGCTAAACATATATAAGAATTATGTGTTAGCAGGGCGGTGGTGGTACACGCCTTTAATCCCAGCACTCGGGAGGCAGAGGCAGGCGGATCTCTGTGAGTTCGAGGCCAGCCTGGTCTACAAAAGCTAGTTCCAGGACAGGAACCAAAAGCTATGGAGAAACCCCGTCTCGAAAATCCAAAAAAAAAAAAAAAAAAAAAAGAAAGAAAGAAAAGAATTATGTGTTAATTTAAGTTGTAAGAGCTAATTAGTAATAACCCTGAGCTAAAAGGCTAAACAGTTTGTAATTAATATAAGTCTCAGTGTGTTTATTTGGGACTGAATGGTTGCAGGACCAGGTGGGACATAAACTTCTGTCTATAAATGGCACCTAACATTTGGCAACTATAGCCTTATAAAACCTGAGAGAGCTTGGGAAGGGATTTTAGACACAAAAGAATGAAGTCAAACATGGCTTCTTGATAGCAGTATTGTCTTGGGTAGGCTAAGTTTGCTAGCGGCAAGCAGAGGCATGTCTCCTTTAAGAGAGGCTTCCTGACTCAGTGTTAGTGGTAAAAATCTTGCAGCTCTTTTAAGAGGTTCTGCCACCAAACATATCAATGGTGTTTATGAGCAACCAATGGCAACTTCTTGAAACTCCACAGAGTTGTAGTAATAAACATGGTTCCCACCAGTACCTCTGCCGTAAAGCTAAACTCTCAGAAAGTAAGGAATGGGGTGGAACCAATCACCAAAGCCACAGCTTTAATCCTAGCCATGCTGTTTAGCAGATTAAAGACTCATGTGCTCAGAAAAAGATAGAGATATACAGTAAAGACAGATTCAGATGGAAAAAAGAAACCTCTAACTGGTTTACAGTGTATTTAAAATATTTGTAAGTTTGGGAGAAAGTCCTTTAAAAAAGAAATAGAGTAGCTGGGCATGGTGCTGCATATCTTTAATCCCAGTACTTGGGAGGCAGAGGTGGGTGGATCTCTGTAAGTTCAAGGCCAGCCTGGTCTACAGAGTGAGTTCCAGGATAACCAAAGATACATAGAGAAATTCTGTTTCAAAAAACAAACAAAAAAATTAAAAAGTAAAAGTAAAAGAAATAGAGTAAAAAAAAAGCCCCTAAAGATGGAAAATACACAGAGAGTCTGGATACTGTATGCTATTGTATTGTCTTTGAATTGTTTGACTGCTGAGGAAGGAACGACATCTGCTAAATGACATTTGACTATAAATGCTGCTGGATTAAACCAACCTATATATTTAAAATATATCTTGACTTCAAAATTTAACTCAAAAGATATATTACTTTGGGAAAAAATTCTGCTTTTATTTCCACAGGAAATGAGAGGCTGTGGATTCATTCTTTGTTAAGAAAAATCAGGTTTGATCGAGGAAGACACCCTGAAAAATCTCTGAAAGGAGTGTATGGCTGAGATGATTCAATGTCTCATAGTCCCTCTGTTGTAGTTTCTTCTGAGTTGTGCATCCAGAATAGATTCAAGACTTCTGGCTGAGATGATCCAGCCTCACAAAATATTCAAGTCAGGATTTGACCATAATCCTAATTTTACTTTGGGTCCCTCAAAGATTACCAGTGCTCCCAATAAGCAGAACGTAACCTGGAAAACTACACCTGCATCCCTCCCCCCAAAATGAATTATGAATGTTTGTCTTTGTTTACATATTGACTACAAGTTGTTATGAATAATGGCCAGGAAAAATGCTAAACAAAGTAGATTAGATTCAGGGTTCTTACTTTGAAAAGAAAAAAAAAAGGAAAATATTGTAGGATAATACACTGTAAAGATTTGTCACTCATATCGGTTTACTAAAATGCTTCCAGTAGCCAGGAAGGAAGTATAGGTGGGACAACCAAACTAGAGAATTCTGGGAAGAGGAAAGGCAGAGATGTGTCATCACCCAGACACAGAAGAAGTAAGATAAGAATGCCTGACTGAGAAAAGGTACCAAGCTACGTGGCTAAACGTAGATAAGAATTATGGGTTAATTTCAGTTGTAAGAGCTAGTTAGTGACAAGATTGAGCTAAGAGGCCAAACAGTTTGTAATTAATATAAGACTCTGTGTGTTTATTTGGGACTGAATGGCTGTAGAACCAGGCAGAAAAGAAACTTCTGGCTACATATTGGGTTTCTACTGCAGAAAAGCTCCAAGTTGGCTTTGAAACCTATATTTCATGTGAATATTTCAAGTCTGATGGTTAAGCAAATCTATTTCTTGTTGTCTGAGAAAGTATAAGTGAATGAGAGCAGACATGGGATGTAGCCTAGTGTTCTTCCATGTGTTCTATACTGTGGCAGCATAATAAGACAAACAAATAAATGTGCCTGGATAGTTATCTTTAATCATAAATATCAAGATTTATAAGAATATTGATCTATAAAGAAAACATTCTGATAATGCTTAAATATTTTTCTCTTTTTATCCTTTACTGCAGAACGCATCCACAATTCTTTATTTCTTTCTCACAAACCAAATATTTATATATTATGTCCTAGGACGCAGCATTAATGTAAAATCTGCTGGTCTTGTGGGAAGACATGGACCTCAGTCAAAACAGCCTTTCATGGTGGCCTTCTTCAAGGCAAGCGAGGTACTTCTTCGATCTGTGCGAGCAGCCAGCAAACGGAAAAATCCAAACCGCAATAAATCCAGCTCTCATCAGGACACCTCCAGGATGTCCACGGCTGGAGGTAAGACAAAATGAGAGTGACAGTTGTGCTTGGAGGATTATTGGGTCATGTGTTGCAAGTCAAGTTGCCACAATAAATTTGCCAGCTGCATATACCTTCATTTGGTATATTAAATCACCTAATGATGTCTCTAGCATCCCCAGAATGCTTCACCAGTGAATCACTCAGTAATTCATTTAAAAATAACTATGACCTGCCTTTATGTGTTGAAAGATTCCATTCAAATTAAAGTCAAGCTGGCAGTCATAAAGCTCTGAAATGGCTAAGTCAACAAAGTGTAGCCCAAACGAAATGACATATCTTACAGGCTAACTTCCCCAAGGAATGATCAACCAGGTGAATTCAGCATACAGTTCTTTCTTTAGTATTTGGATGTGAATCACGCAGCCCAGAATCTTTCTAGAAAATAGGAACAGGGAAGACTGTCAGAGAATCAGGGTGTGTTTAGATTTTCCTTATTGTCTGGTGGACTGATATCTGAACTATCCAGTCACATGTACACATAAAACTTTTCAGAAAAAATATTACAAACTACAGTCGATATCAGTCTACTTTGATTTTAGTTTATTCTCATTTTGGTTGGAAAAAGAGATAAAGGAGTCTCTAACTAGAAAGTGTGTAATGGCCAGAGATTTAACTGCATGCTTCATACTGAGAAGGACCTTGGTTAGTCTAGATACAAGTATAAAGTTGATGTCTACATTCCTGCAAGAATCTGTTTTCATCTATAAAAAATAAATTTGGACCTTTACTAATCCTAGCACTTCTCAAGTTAGTAAAAAATTGTTTACTGATAACGACATATGTGGTTCTCTGAACAGGCACCATATGTCCCGTACTTTGCTAGGCACAAAGGGTGAGCCAATAAGTTTCACTAGCACTATTTCAGTAAATTAGAAATCTAATTTCAAATAACCTTTGCTATTATTTTTTTAAAGCTTCATTTTTTGAGGTTACTTCAAAGTAACAAATCTCCTAGAACCTGAGATTCTCAAAAGGTGGAATTCATTCACCTTCTTAAAATGTAGTTGCCAGGTTACCTGGTAAGTCGAGAAACAGAAGCAATAGGAGAGGATTATATATGGCACTACATTATACTAAATTAAATGGTACATAAAAATGAAGCTTTCAAATAAAGTTTCATTGAAGAATAATGGTAGTTTTATGCTACTTTGTTAAAGATACTCACAAAATATTTAGTTTGGCAAAAAGTTATAGTCTCTGAATATGAAAATGGAGAAAAATAACCTTCTAAGTCTCCCTTTTCCTTGCAAATATTAGCTTGTCAAAGATATATATGTATATATATATATAATATATATGCATATATTTCAGCTAGGAGGTTTCTGAATTTGACTGAAATGTTTTTAATTTCATGTAGCACTTCGCATCAAGAGAGGGCTTTTCTAAACTTTGAGTAGAATAGTAAACAATTTCCGAGGAAACTGGAAAACAGAAAGCACAGGCATGCCCTGATTGTTCAAGTTTATAATTACTCTGGCAGAAGGTTCCAGCAACCGGAATCATCAAAGTTCTTTTCCCTCTGGGCCCGCTCTATTTATCTTCTCTTCTTGACCACAAAGTAACAAATGTGCTTCTATAACCATAGATGAATAAAACACGTGGAGCCAAAACTAGGAGCCTTTTCGCCAGTTTCCCAACACGTTTAGTGCATTTGCTTATTGTAATATAGACTGATATTTCCCGTTGCAGAGTTGGGCCTTGGCAAGCATCTCTGTGAAATATGTGGTAGATGGTTTTGAAGCTAGTTCATATTTTGATAATAAGAAAGTAGCTAGTTTTCTGTGAGACTTAACCTTTCAGTAGGTAATAATCAAGCAGACTGGAAAAGCCTCCTAGGAGTTGGGCTAAAAGGCGGGACTGAAGGAAAGGGAAGGGCAATATAAACAGAACTCTTGATATTTGGGGGGCTTGAAATGCCAGGCAAAATGTAAAGTTATCCAAATATAAATAATAGATACTTTAATAGTATCAGGCTTTCATAATAAACAATGGAACAAGGGCTCCCTGGTGGAGGCAGGTTTAAGAAAGAGCAATGATAGAGGTTTGTCAAATTGAAGTTTTTAACGCGTCTCCTAAAGTACTGGAAGTCTGGAAAGGCATAAGACATCGGAGAATCCAGGTCTAGTCATTTTGACTATTTTACTCCACTTTTTTCCTGTTTCAAGGACTTCTATATTGTACGTGGTGGTGCACTCACTTAATCCCATTACTCAGGAGGCTGAGGCTAGGAAATCCAGAATTCCAAGTCAATCTGACCTATCTAGGGACCCTGCAGAAACATAAAAAAGAAGGAGGAGGAGAGAGGGAAAGAGAAAAGATAAAAAGAAGGAATGAAGAGAGGGAGGGAGAAAGGGGAAGGAAGGGGAGGAAATAAAATAAGATTCCTTCCTTATGACTTTTCAGTGATTTCTGTCCCATACATAATCCTAGGGAGTATATAGAAGAGTGGCTACCACAAAATAGGAGTCCACCAATTACTTACTAAACAAATTAACATGTTGCTTGTTTCTGGAAAACCAACTTTCTTGTTCAAATGAATATTTGTAGGCCCATTGCTTCCAGACTGTTTGTGGAGTTTGTCCCTGTCTCAGTTCCTTCACAAAGAAGATTGAGCTTTAATCCTATAGGAGACATTGACAGTGTCACATTGATCACACTCAATGAATTTTTTTTTTTAAAGTTTGGGCAGTAGAGGAAGAAAGAAAAGGCATTAACCAAGTTTTAAACCAGCTACCCTTGAAGATACAATGACTTTAGATTGATAAGGTTTTCAAAGAAGCCATGAACCGTGATGTTGTTTCAAGAGTTACATAAAGTACTCAAAACAGCAGTATTAAGAGTCTGTGGAAGCTCACAGGAAAAATGCCACATATCAGCGCACACCAGAACTCCTAGAAGACATTTTATTACATGCTTAATACTAAGGACCCTTGCAAGTGGGTCTGATCATGTGGTGGTCCTGCCTAAAGACTTGATAGCTTCTCAGGGTAGTTCTCTCACGTAGTTAATCCTAATGCAAACATTCTGCACTTATTCTCAAATCAAATAAACATTACCTCTTGTCTAATGTATACAATGGAAACCCATGCCTCTTGAAACATATCAATCCAAACAAGGAAATAGAATCAATTAAACCATCCAGAGTACTTTATAACGTATTATCAGTAAAACTACACAAACGATATGTTTTGTTTATTTTAGAAGTGATTTAGTCATCTTCCTAACAGAATGACCCGATTCTTGTAAAGTGTTGCGGCGTTTTTTAATCATACTGGAATTACTGTAGTTAATCACATCAGTTTTTTTATAGAGATTTTATTCTTTATTGAGAAACTTAAAAGTCTTGGGTACATTAAATCCAATTTCTGGGAGGGGAAAAAGTCAGAACCCACAATAGAAAAAAAAAGTTACCTCCTGAGCCATAGCAGAACCCAGAGAATATATTCTCATAATTGAAAAATTCTAGGTGCTTCATAATTGACCTCTTGACACAAAATGACCTATTAAATTTGTAACTGTAATCACATCAGTTTTAACGAACATTTTGCCTGTTTTCAAGTGAGGTCTCTAAAATAAATACTGTACTGAAAATCCTACAATGCTACATATAGGAAAATGGTTCTAATCTAGATGATTCCTACAGAAATTAATGTTAAAAACTGATTATTCTTTGAATAATGGAATGTTTTAGAATCCTTTTTCAAGCAAATTCTCTGGCACATCTAATATGCCATTAGCGAGCTCTGCTTCTTTATTGACACATTTTTGGTTTCTATTGTCTATTATTTAATACTGACTATATCTCTTACTAGTTGTGTAGTTTTGGCTACGACCACTGACTCAGTTTGTAAGTATGGAAACAAGAGAGAGACAGGAAGTAGAAATAGTGAGTGGGGGACATTTAGGAAGCTTTTGTTTAGAAAGGTCTAGCAGAGAGTTGGAATCTACAGTTTGTAGATAAAATTTTATGTCAACAGCCTCTAAGGTGCAGATGACATTTGTGTGGTTACAGGGATGCTTGAGTAAACAGAATCAAGGGAAGATTCCAGGTAGCTATGAATTTATTGGCTATGTTTTGTGCCACAAATTTATGTATATTTATGTACAAATAGTGGCAACCCCTCTGGGTCAGGTTTTATTTATTCAAGTTGGTAATTTACTGAGTGTGGCTTGTCTCTCTTTACTGGTTCATCAAAAATTATCCTTAAGGACTCACCAAATTCACTTTATTGAATAGTCTATTTTGAGCTTCCTTAGGCTCAAAATTCATTATTTTCTGTGAATAAATCATTTTTTTTTTGGTTTTAATTCTCCAGTTGTTCATTTACTCTTTTCTTTTTGAAAGCTAAGAAAAAGAAAGCTAAACGTCTCTTTGCTCTGAGACGGAGAATTTTCATCATATAGTTCATGTAAACTGTTGTCATGCTTAAGGGTTAAGTTCTATTTTGGATCTCTCTCTCTCTCTCTCTCTCTCTCTCTCTCTCTCTCTCTCTCTCACTCACACACACACACACACATACACATGTTCTACATATAGATATCCACACCTACCTATCTACCATTTACCTATCAATTATACATCTACCTTTTGTATATTATCTGCCTCTGATACCTCTTAAATGAAAACATTGTTAATACACATAAGGAGTTTTTTTGCCTTACTTTGGTAGATTATCATTCTTTTTACATTGAGGTCACCTATCTTTAACTTTGCCTTTCAGAACATGAAAGCTTTTGTAATCTTAGGGTTTTATTCTCCCACTTTTTAAAAACCACCTCCTATTTTATTGCATTTCATTATTTAAAGTACAAGACGATGATATTTTAAACAAAATTAAATTATTTTCACCTTTTTTCTAGAAATTGGCCATGAAAATTTGTACAAATACTTAATATTTTCAATGTTAGACATTATTTTCTCATTGCTACTAACATTAAAGGTAAATCAGAGATATATTATAATACGTGCATATCTT